CGAGCAAGCAGCTGGGGCAGGACTGGCTGGAGGGCGGAGGGAAGGTGTTTGTGGACACAGCTGGCGGTGAAGAGAGAAAAGGAGCTCCGTGTGGGCTTTTCCCGAGGAGGAGGGGAGCCAGCTCGGGCCACTGGCCACTGAGTGCAAACAGGACTTTTGGTCTGGCCCACTTGGGCATCCTGTTAGGGCTGGGGCTGGGGGCAGCAGAATGACCCCGAACCCGTGCCCACAGTGGCAGGAGGCGTAGACAGATGCGGTTATTTTAACCAACTGGAAACCAATTACAGTCTTTTTTAAAATGTGCTCTGCCACCGAATTGGAGAAGGAGCCGGGGCTGGAGTGACAGGGGGCGGTGTATTGTGAGAGCTAATTGCTCTGCGTACAATGCGACACGTTGCAGGAAGAATCATATGTAAGACTGGGTTTATTTTTTAAAAAGAATATAAACTACCCCTCCCCGTCTTCTGATCAAACCGCCCGGTGGGGGACTAAAGGGCTAACATAACTCTAAATAGTAATCTGTTTCCGCGCCTAGCTAGTATAGGGGATTTTTCTGAAATGTCTCCCAGCATAGAAGAGGGATCTTGGACTCTGTACCTTGCCTTAGATGGACACGGAGAGACCTAGTTCAAGATGGCCTTTTGCTAGAGGCCAGTGTGTTGAGTACTCAGACACAGAGGAGGGGTTGACCAAAGGTGCCTCCTGGGACTCGCTGTGGCATTGCACGGGGTCTCCCCCCCACACACACTTTGATTGCTTGCTGGCCCCCGCACCCCCTCCCCCCCCACGGCCTATTTCTACAGTGTTCTCAGATGTACTACCCCCCCCACCTACCTTTACACAAAACGCACTTAAAACAAAGTCCCTGAAAGCCTCGCTGCTGAAAGTGTCTTTCAACATAATAGAGACGAAGAGCTTTTCGAAAGCGAGCTCTTCTCCTAGCCGGAGAGCCGCCATCCAAACCTTTGCAGCAGTGACTGAGCAGCAACTGCAAACCGAGCGTGCAGCTTGCGCCGCCCCGCAGCCCCGGGCGCTCGCGGTTCTTCCAGGCCTTCTGCGTGCGGAGCAGGGGCCGTGGGAAGAGGGATCCCGGCTACACGGTGCAGATCACACTTTTTATCCATGGTATTAGCCTCTTCGCCTTTTGTATCCTCAGCTCTGCAGTCCCCGGGGAGTTCTGTGATACACTTGTTTTTTCTGGGTTTTAAGAACGAATGCATATGTCCTAGACCTATGTATAGGCACAGATTCATACAGATATGTGAGTGTTACGCCTGAGATTTAACTTTCTGTCTGTCTGTCTGTCTGTCTCCCTCTCTCTATATATATCATTGTATATTATATAGCATGTATATGGCTCTGTGTGCCAACATTAACTGAGTGAAAATAAATTACTGTTCAAATGCGTAAGTAAATATTTCCAAAGGCTTTAGAGTGACCAACAGTGCCCAACTTGCCATGTCCCCAAAAGTCCTTTCTGAAGAAAAGTATATGTGTATATAGGTGTGTCTGTGTATAGGTGCATTTATACCCACACCCATATACGGTATGTGTGTATGTCTCTACCTGTGTATTGGGGTGGGTGTATTCCGGGCCTGGTTTGCTTGGAGGGATCAGTGGGCTCCGTACGTAGCAGGATGAGATTGCTGTTTGGTGAGGGCTCAAGAGGCACAAGACAAAGCCGATCTGCCGGCAGGTTTGCCTTTCCCGCAGCCCTTGTTACGGCAACATCTGGCGGCTGACGGGGATGGAGCTGGTCTGAAGCTCACCTGTGCAGTAACACTCTCAGTCACAGCCCTCCACTCCGAGGGGAACTAAAGCTCCTCCCGGCAGCGGCGAGGCCGCTCTAAGCCCGGCGCCCGGAGGCACACGAGAGGGAGGGAGGCAATCGGCCAGTGGTCCCTCTTTTCCCAAGTTGATCTGCTGAGGCAGGTTTCCCGGGGCGGCTGCTGGGAGCGACGTCCCTTCTCCCGGCCCCACTCGGACAAAGCTCCTCTTGGCTCGAGGGGAAGGGGCCCCTGAGAGGCTCCTCTCCGCGGGTCGGCGGGGTATGCCACACTTGCCGCCGGAGCAGCCCCTGGTCCCTCGCCCAGCTCTGGCTGTGGGTCCTGCGGAGTGTCCTTAGGAGACCTCCAGGGGGATCTACGGCAAACCGCATTGCCGCACTGGACCTCCTTCATCCGGCACAGGGGGCTGGCAGGAAGGGCCCTTACACAAGCTCGGGCCAGGCAGGTAGCGCTGGAGGAAAGGAATTCTCTTGATTCCCCGTGGGGGTGGAAACCGAGACATAATGAAAGAGGGGAGAAAAAAGACCCAACTCCGAGTCCGACCCGTCTGCGCGCAGCAGTATCCGATCCTGCCTCCGCCACCTCCCATCGAGGCCAGAGACAAGCTCTGGGGGTCTCCAGTGAGGCCAGGCTCCCGCATGATGAGACAGCTGAGCAGGTCACATGCGTATGCAAAATTGAAGTGTCCCTGTGGCCTAAGACAGCCCTCTGGCGAGCCACTGAGGATCCAGCGGATCCAGCAGCGGTCCTTAAGGAGAGGACCCTGCGGGAGGGCGCGGGGGAAGCGGGACACTGGGTGACACCGACTCTGCCCCAGCTCCCAGCAAGAGCGTGGCTGTCTCACGCTTTCCTTGCTCTCCGGGACACTCAGATGGGTTTGCCGCTTTCTCTTAACGACGTGTTAGTTGCTTTGACCGTTTTAATAACTTTGCCGCCACTTGTTCCAAGCAGCCCCTCTGGACACCAGACAGTGTCTCATTAGGGCTTTCC